AATGTCCCTTTTTCGTTATCTTAACTTTATCAATTGCTTAAAATTTATCTTGCGCATAATTGCATTTGAAATTTCCCTTTCCCTTAATTCCCTTAAGGCAATTTTTCTTAATTTCGATCTAACCTTAAAACTTAATTTTCTGTAGGGAAAATAACTTGATTTCCCTGAAACGAACAAAAATAAAATTATTATTAAATTTATTTAAATTATTTCAAATTAAACAATAATTTTATTGCATAGTAATATTAAATACTAGTGAAAACGTGTTGATATGTCAGATAGGTAATCTGGCAGATACTTCCTTCGTGTTAAAAGCATTATATTTACGATATTTATTTGACATGAATAATTTTACATTAAAATAATATTTTAATTTTATTAATAATAATTTTTATATTAATTTTAATATGTTAATTTATTTTTGATTTTTTTAAAAATAAAGTTTTCATTATTTTCTTAAAATTATAATAAAGTTTTCCTAAAAAATTTATATTGCAGTATATTTTTTGTAGGTTTAATTACTTAATCTTATGTTTATTAATTAAATTGATGTAATTTTTAACTCCAACTGTTTAAATTTTCAACACATTTAAATTCGATTGAGTTAATAAAAATTTTTTTGTGAAACTTTTTTTTTTTATAAACAATTCAGTCAATTTTCTTCTCAATGGGAAGTAAATATAACAAATAAACAAGTGTTTTATTTGTAGTCTTATGCTTTGCTAATGTGTAGATATATATCATTTCGAGATACTTTTCGATTTCTTTATAAACAAAATACACGTATTTTTAAAATATTTAAATTTTTTATAAAAAGTTAATAATATTAGGTTTGAAACTACAGTCCAACTTCTATAATTCGAACTTCTATAACTTAAATTTTCTATGATTCGAACTTAATAGAGTGCAACAGGGTTTAGAGAGCAAATAACATACAATTACAAAAATATTTTTTAATGCCAATATTAATATATATTTTGACAAATTATCTGTACGTTTGATTTTAAAAGGTTTATCTATTTTGAAGGATATTCCGAAATGCGGAATATCAGTTCTGTTAGTAACTGATATTCCGAAATGCGGAATATCAGTTCTGTTTGTAACTGATGATTTTTGAATTGGCGTCTACATTGGTTAGACTTTGACAAGTTTTTTAATTTCGAATTCAAATGCGTATTATTTTCGAATACAAATGCGTATTATTTTCGAATACAAATGAGTATTATATTCGAATTATGTCTGCGAACAAAAAATTGTTTGGGTTAGTGAGGAAATGATAGTTTATGCAATGATCTTGCTAAAGTCTAGTCAGTGTAGACGCAGAGTGCGTAATAAGCGAATCGACGATCAAACTTCAGCATCATCTATTCAAAATTTTTTTCGTAATTTTGTAATTATAAAAATTTTCTGTAATTAATACATTATTAATACAAATAATAGCAACAATTAACACCGTAAAGACTAAGTCTATGCGCCTGAACTCAGGTAACAGCAATCGGTTTCAAATATACGGGGAGTACATGGAAGATGTTAAAGAAATTGAGTATCTTGGAAGCACACTAACAATTGTAGGTGGAACAGATGCAAATATAAAGAAAAGAATAACGAAAACTACTGGTATCTTCTTCGGTCTTTCGCGGGTATAATCAAATAAAACAATAAATCGTGAAACCAAAATTCAAATATTTAATTCCTGTGTTAAGTCAGTGCTAAACTACGGCAGCGAAACATGGCACTTAAAAAAAGAGATGATTCGTAGATATTTACGATGTGTAGTCGCTATTTGGTGGTCCCGTACGATAACTAATGCTCGTTTATGGCAAATATCTAAACAAATTCCTATTGAGAAAGAAATAATGCGCAGGAATTAGAAGTGGATTGGACATACCCTTCGGAAGGACGCAAACGAAATAGTACATGTAGCCTTATAATGGAACCCCCAATGTGCAAGAAACAGAGGACGTCTCAAGATGACATGGCGTAGAAACGTAATAAGGAAACAAATAAAAATGATGAGTTAATGAGTTAAGACATATTGTTGGAAACCGGGATTTGCGGAAATCCTATGTAAATAGACTAAGTTCTTAATTTACCCCTAAGAACAACCAAAAATAGGTTGACTTGCAATATATTTATAATTTATTTATTTATTTTATTTAATTGAACAGTTTTTATTGAATACGTTTTATATTGTATATATGGTATCTTTCATACCACGTAATTTAAGTGTAGTTTGGTATTAAACTAATCTATCTAAATAAAACCATATTTTGATTGCATTAATATTATTTTATTATTTTTTTTTTATAATTTTAGATAGTCAAACAATATTAAAGTAGCAATTGTAAAGCATGAGAAATTTAAAAAATAAAAACTTGCAAGTTCAAGTTTAATGAAATACAACAGTTTTTTTTTAAACTTTTTAATGTTAATGACATTCACTTTGAAAAATTGCATTTTAAATTGTAAAAATGCAAGTAATTCAATCAAGTTGTTTTTAATAAATTGGAAAAATATTCTGTGCCAATTAAGACCAACAAAATTTTTATTTTACATCGAGGTTGAACTTAAATAAATTATATACAGTAACATGCATATATATAATATATGTATATATAAAAAATATGTTATATTTTTTTATTATCATGCTTTAATATGATTAGCTTAAATAAATGATTTTTTGATAATAGTAAAGAAATGTTTGGGATCCACTTGGGCCAATAGGCCTAAGTGCATCCACTAGGGATCGCCGGTATAACCTAATCTACCTAACCTAACCTAATACATTTACACTTTTGTATTAAATTCGTTTAATGTGCAGCTATAAGTGTTATTTTCCATACAAAATCCCTATAAAACTATGTTTTCATTATGCAGTTTACCATGATAAAAGTTGAATCATAATAAATCACATTAAATCACATTACGTGATATTGATCAAGATAAAAGAAATAATGTTAAGAAAAGTTTTCTTAAAACCAAAGAAACCTACAGATTGCAACCATTATAATATTGTTTAAAATAAGCTGCGATTTAGAGAGCAGATTTGTAGACGATTTTTTGAATAGCCACAATAACAGCGATATTGTTTCAGTAAATTTCGATCTTGATATTCTTCACTGAAACGGTACGTATCTCAAAAGAAAAAGTTGCCATCACATTGTATTTGTTATTTTTTTTAAATATTTTTCTGTTTTCATTACTCAGCGTCTACACCGGTTAGACTTTGGCAATATTTTTGCATTACTTTTTTGCAAACACATGCGAATTATTCTTCATAGATAAAAATCGAAAATAATACGTAATTGTATTCGAACATAAAAATTTTGCTTAAGCTCAGGCTGTAGGCCTGAGTTAGTTGCTAGATTTGTATTGGTATTGCGACTTGTCATATGAAAAATACTCACGTTAATGTTAATTTTTATTTTTTTTGCCGAAAGTCACGCGTCTTATAACAAAAAGTAACTATTTAAAAGTTGGAACGGTTTGAATAGAAATGAAGAGACAACAATAAAAATTTTAGGTAATTTATTGAAATTTGGTCGACTATACAACGTTATATTTTTTATAATACTGTGTTCAGATACACCTTAATTTCGCAAAAATCTTAACTCCAACTTAATTTCAGCGAAATTAAGTTGTTTTTTCCATACAAAATTTAGTTTTTATGTTAGAACGAAATTAAGGAAAATGATCTTAATTTCGTTGTCAGTGACACTTGACTTTAATAAAACCGGGAAAAACATTTTGAAAGTAGTGTAAATTTTTAAATTTGAATATAGAGAAAGAACTGTAACTGTTAATAATTTAAAATATAGTGAAAAATAATAATTCACATACCTTAAGGCTCAGTTAGACGGTAGGTAACGTAAGAAATTAATTCAAAGCGAAATTCACCACCAACCAAACCTGCGTATTTAATAGAAACGAAATAAACAATGTTAGCCGCTTTTGTTTATTTCGTTTCTCTCAAATATGCAGGTTTGGTTGATTGTGCATTTCGCTTTGAATTAATTTCTTACGTTACTTACCGTCTAACTGAGCCTTTAATCCACTAAAGCTAATAAAACTACTAAATGCCATCCTTTACAGTTATAATAACTAACTTTTAAAATTTTCCAGATACAAATCGTATTGGGAGCATGTAAATTTTAAACATTCGATTGGTAAACAAAAAATATATGATTCCCTTAATTGGGAATCCAAATTAGTTAACTCATTGGGAATTCGAAATTAACTTAATTTCATTTTTACGAAATTAAGCAAATTTGGCTGTCTGAACACAGTATAAGATACATTCCAATTTAAATTTGCACATATTTTCCATAGAAAATATTTTCCATGATCTAGAAAGGGATATAGCATGATTTTTATTATATATTGTTTATTATATATTATTTATTATATATTATTTATTATACATTATTTATTATATATTATTTATTTATTTAATTTATTTATATAATTTATTGATCAGGTTATTGTTTGCTAAAATACATCTGATGTCGGTAATATTCAGACTACAAGTTCAAAAAATTTAGAGAGATCTTTATCGTTCTGTGTACCGATATATACAAATATGAAAAATTTTTTTGTACATTTGACTTGACAATGTCAAAATGCTGTCAAAATGGTTTTTTTTTATGGTAGTAAATAAATATTTTTATATTAACAAGAATAAGGTTCGGTCTATATTGTACTCTATAGATATAAATTCAAAATTGCTGTAATTTATTTCATACGATCATATTTGGTCCTTATTGTTTTGTTATTGTCATAAATTGTTGGAGAGTTTGGAGAGTTTGGAGAGACATCAGGCCTTGTTGACAGCTTCTTTATTAACAATTATATTTAAATTACAATACACAGTATGTACTATAATTTTGCTATAGCTTTATTGTGTTTAACTGAAATATGCCTTTTTAAATTATTTTAAGTATTAATTTTTGAAATATGTCATCTATCTATTCTAAATAAAATTATATAATTTTTTTTTATAGCCTGTAGCAGAACAGAAGCTTATTTACTCAGGACAACTACTAAATGATAAGCTCTTGCTTAAAGACGTTATACGCAGTTATAAGGATGTTTATACACAAAACCACATATTTCATTTAGTTTACACGCCTGCTTCAGTACGATCACCACCACCTCAAGCTGCAAAATCAATACGAAACAATACTATGACTTCCAATAGAGACATAAACACTAATATGGCTTCGACTAATATGGGCTCAGCGACAGATGGTTTACGGCATCGAAATGTATATTCAGCTACGCAACCACAATACACTTTGCAACAAAACCAACAGCATAGTCAGCAGGACCAACAACGCCAAAACCAACAGACACAGCAACAACAACAGCAACAGCAATCAGTGCATCAACCGCAGCCATGGGCAGGATACTATGCAAATGCACCACAATTTAATCCGCACATAATGCCAGTATCAGCTGCTTATGCACAAGCCCCTCTTGCACAGAGTTGCCCACCATTTGATACAAACAATCCAATGAACCAGTGGACTATGCAAGTAATGGCCACGCAACAAGCTGCTATGTACAATTGGATGCAGCATGTGTATTCACAATATATGGATCGTTGCATACAAGTGTAAGTAATTTTTAATTTGAAGTTATATATTTGAATTTTTGATTAAATTTTTAATTAATTTTTCATTTCATTATTATAGCTCAAACGCATCGCAGAATAATACAACTGAACCTACTATACCAATAAATCATGCCTTTCAGGCACCATATGGATATTCCAATTTTGGCGTACCTCTGATACCAAATCCTAGTGCGTTTAATATTAATGCACATCAGCCGCAAAACCAAATGCAGCAAAGCGCTGAAAATATTGTTGGAAGTGAACCTAATGTTGAACCAGTAGATGTACAAGCACAGGAACGGCCTGAGGCAGTACTACAAAGACCACGTTTTCCTAACATTGTACAAGAGGAACAGGAAAATCGAGACTGGTTGGATAGGTTCTTTTCAATAACACGCTTAGCTTTCTTCCTGACTATTTTGTATTTTAACTCATCGCCATTGCGTTGTTTAGCTGTAGTTTTTATTGCTGGCGGAATTTATCTGTTAGTTTCATTTAAACTATTTTATAATGCAAATAATAATTGGTTTCCTTATTTACAGTAATCATATTGGCGTGTTTCGTTTTCGACCAGAACGCAATAACAATAATATAAATCGCAACAATAACGATCAAATACGCCAAGGTGTCGAGGAAGTACAGCAGGCTCAAGCACAAGCTGCTCAAGAGATACAAAATGAGAGTGCATCAAATACTGATCCCACCGAAGAAAATTCAGCAAATCGTAGTGAAGACGTTGAGAGTAATGCAACAGAAGAACCTGCTGTTAATGCTGAAGCCACCGATGAAGAGCAACCACAACATGCTTCTTCTGCTGATACTCCTGGTGACGATGCAGAACCAAATGCAGCAGCTCTACCAAATGTTGGCGTTCTAACATTTGTACGTACATTTGTGCTAACATTTTTTGCCTCATTGCTTCCAGAGACGCCAGCATTGTAAATTATGGTCAAACTACAACATAAGACAGAAATAATATAACAAAGACAAGCAAAGCGGAAAGAGAGGGCAAATTAAAATATTTTTATTTAGTATACCATTAACTTGGAAGGATATGTAAAGCACTGATAGTTTGTTTTTCTACATTTTTAACAAGAATTTGCTTCAACTCTCAACCATTCCCTATTTTAATACACTTCCAGACTTTTCTATTTTTATAAAAGGGAAGTACTAAGTATTTTTAGCTAATATTAATTACTAAAATACGTGAGAAACAGTCATTGGTGTTATTATGTTTGAGTTTAAATAGGAATTTGATTCAATATGTTGTCAACTTAGTACTTCTATATATTATCAAAATGTTTGTCGAAGATTTTTTGGCATATATAATATAATTTTGATAAAATTTTTTAAATAAAGCTACGAAATTTTTATGTAAATATATATATATATATTATAAATTAACTATTATAAGCTGTTGTTATGAAATTTAGTTTTTATACTGAAATTATTGGAAATTACGTTTGTAAAAACTAAAAACTTTTACTTTGATATTTGTTTTTAAACAAAATTAATAAAAAACATGTTATATTATTTATCAATTTTTATTTTATGAAACATAATTATATTGATATATTGATATAATGTGTAGTGCAAACACTTATGCATTGTTAAAAAAGTTTTGTATTTATTATAAATCTAAGTGAAATTTAATAAAGATTAATTTTATTTAATATAGTAAAATGTAATTATTACTAGTTTGAAAGAATGAATATGCTTTAACAAATATTAATATTAAGCAAATAAATGAGTAATTTATTAAATGTACATGTTAATAATGTGTGTAATTAAAAATTAAATTTATAAAACAAAAGAAATAAAAATATTAAAAATTTAATTAATGTTGTAATTTAACAATTTTGTAATTATTTTCCATGCCTTAGATTTTTAAACAGATCGTCTTAATTATTACGTTTGTTATGGTTTTCATTACATAAATAACGTTGTATATAATGTTCTAGAGCTGTTTATTTTCTAGTAGAGTTAGTATAAGAAATATTATTTTATAAAAAAAATCTGTACGTTTATTTTGTTAAATTATTGAAAAATATTGGTTAATATTCATTTCTGCCATTTCATTGATAATGGCAGAAATGAATATTGATTTCAATACATTTAACATTTAATAAATAGTTTATCAGAACATTTAATATTTAATAACAAACAAATAAACATTATATCATAAGTCGGTATATATTTATATCCTATATGGTATGAAGTTTAAAACTTCATATAATTAGATTTGAAATAATTAAGAAAACACAATTTGACATTTTTACGGATAGTTTATAATTCGTTGTGAATGAAAATAGTATAAAGTAGCAGAGGCGAGGCGTCGAATGGTTCAGAGTGTTCACTGAACACCTTAACAAAGCTTCCTTTTTAGATCTTTTTTGTTATTAGGTAAATAATCTCGCTATTTTGCTACTTAACATTTTTTATAATAGCTTTTCCAAACAGATTAACATAAATACAAAACGTACAATACAAACAAAATCACACATACATATGTAAGTTACACTCAACATTACTTATAATTATTAAAAGAGAAAACACATTCCTCTTAAAATATACTAAGGTTGAGATTAATGCACCGCGGTGCTTACAAATGAAATAACATTCACATTGGGACTATGTTCAATATTGAATAAACACAAAACATACAAACAAATGTAAAAATAAAAGAGAAAACAAGCCCCGCAAAATATGTACGGAAAATAATCATAATTCTTAAATTAATACGTGCAAGCGGTTCAATAAAAAAGTGAAAATCCAATGTTATGCAAAGTAAATACAAAAGAGAAAAGAAATGACTGAGCGAAAATCGCTTTACATTTGATTAGAGGTTCACTCGACCAAATTGAACCCCAAGTTCATACAAAGAGTGCAAATATAATCAAAGTCACGGTTGCCGTTTTATACAGACAAATGGTTCAATAAAAAAACTGAACCGCGCATAGTAAATACAAAGTAAAAGAGTAAATGAAAGCATGAGAGTTTCTTACTCTTATGTAGAGGTTGGAAATAAACCAAAAACAAAGTCATTATTGCAATTTTATACTAGCAAATGGTAAAAGTAAAGAAAAAACTTAAAGAAATTTGAAATGAAAAATAATATTTAGAAATGGATAAATGTGTGATTAAAGATTTTATTCAGATATCTTTTTTTAAACGATCTTCTGAAAAAAAGGTTTTAATTTATAAAATGAATAGACCAACTCCAGATATGAAGAATTTGGTACCTGATGTAAAAATGTCGAAATCTGTGGTAAGTCGCTGTTTTTCTACAGCTATTTATCATAAAAACCAGTGGATTATAGGTTGCGAACATTTAAATAAATTGTTTTGTTGGTCTTGTACGCTATTTGCTTGTGGAAAGGACAAAACCCAGGAGTAGGGGAAATACGTTATAGTTGGAATTCTGTTTTGATGAAATTGTGAACACCTTGCCAAAAAGCTGACGCATCGCTACTGTAAAGTAGCATATAGTCAGTTTAGGGTGAAAATGTACTAAGTCCACTTTTCAGATTTTTCGGAAGAGTCAAAAAATGTAATAATTTTTTTTTTTTTATTAAAGCATTTATTTACTTTATTTTTTATAAGCACATTTTCGTTTAGGTATTTTAAGTTTGCGAATTGGACTTAGTATCTCTTCTGTTTAAGCCGACGATGTTTCCCTGTTGCATAGTTTGACTGTAATATTAATAAAAACTGTTATAAATTATTTTATTTTGTATCAAATTACAATATATAACTAAGTATTGTATTTATAATAAACATATTTTGTATTAAAGTTAATTATTTTTGCCGAAAAGTGGCGCTTCTTATAACGACAAAATAAACTATTTTTTTAAAAGTAAGAAGGATTGAAATAGCAAAAAATCCTTGTTCTTGTCTTTTCTTTGCTATTCGAATCCTTTCATATTTTGTTTTTAAATTATAACTGTCAGAAAAATGGATTTTCATGTTATACAAATATACATACTAACTTCTGTCGTTCACGAAGATTTTGTCAATAGCCTGTACATAGATACTATATATCAAATAAGAGAATTAATAATATTTATTGGTGAATATTATAGTCATGTAGAAGTGAATTATTGAATCAAATTTGAAATTCATAATACGAAAAGCTAGACGTTTATACTAATTTTATAAACAATATATCCACAACGTAGCATGATAATGACAAATATTATCTAAAAAGGCTCTCCATATGAATAATCTTAAACAAAGAATATGGCATTGATATACATTATAGATTTATTTAAGTAATTTGGAAAACAATTGCAATACACAGCACTAAATTGTAATCCCGGAGTTACTCCGCAATTATGACGACCAAGATCGTTCACCACTTTTAACAGAACAGCAGGACTATATCAGCAGATCTTCAGCTATAACAAAAACAAAAAAAATCACAAAATAAATATATATTATACATAATACCTTTAAATTCAATATCTGATAATATATAATTTAATATAAATTTCGACTAAATTCATAACAAAATGTTTATTATACAGTATATATTTAACATTTTGGTCTTATCATTTTTGTGGTTATAGTAATTGATAATTTATCTCCAACAGTTCAATAAAAAAAAAACATTTCCAATATATCTTTAAAGAACGTTTTATACTTAAAAAGAAATGGATTAGTAACCTTATGGATTGTGTTTCATATAGGATATCCACATTATTATAGCAATAAGCATAATGGACACTAGCGTCCAGAAAGAAAGATAAGGCGGATTTGTAGGACGATTTCAATAAAACGACCTTTTTTAAAACGAAAAATAATTCATATCTTTGGCACGCGCTGCTAAAAAGATTGGCCATCAGTGCTCTAGTCTATTTCTCCATTAAATATTACAAAACTGGAATAACGATAGAGAAAGTGCTATACTACTAATATAGTATCTTATCTTTCGTAAATTTTGCATTGCAATATTGCTTGCAATAACAGCCAACTGCATGGACAGACAGATAGAAGAGAAGTAGGTCAATATTATTATGATATTTAGTTAAATTTTTTTTGCATATAACTATTAGAAAATTATATAAATATATTATTTTTTTAAATAAAAATGATTAAAAGTGTTGTCAGGGTTTGATTTGATAAACCGTCTGTCCGTTGATTTACCGTCTGTCCGTCCATATAAGTTATCATCAATAAGTTCTATCCAGGGTCTAGAACTGATAAGTATAATTTGATAGGTCATAAAAAGCTTTGTGACTTTTATTTTATAGCATGGAAAAAATGTATTTAATTTGAGTACTTCAATTAAGATGTTAACTGTTATAAAGTAAATAAATAATACCAGAAGAAGTCATATATTGTAAGTACTTGTGGTAATACCTTTAATGTTTAGATAAATTTTTATAGACAATTGAAAAATTAATTTCTTCATATTTCTTATTATATTTTTTGGACAGATATGATTGATTGACTTAGAGAGCTCTAAAATTATTCACTCAAGTTGATTCGCTACTTAACAATCCTCAAGTCCACTTCTGGACTCTAAGGAAGATATGCTGATTTAAGGTCCGTCATCAACTAAAAGACAAATAAATGATATGATTTCTTAGCCTAGTTAAAGCCTAGTGTGGGGTAGTGATAAGCCAGCCATTATAGAGTAAAAGTGCTTAATAGCACGAACTTAAGAATAAGAAGAAGAAGAAGATTGATATTTAAAGTATTTGTCTGAAATAATGTGAGAGCGGTGATAAAAATCACAAAAGTCATCAAAGTTAATTAATGTTGCAGAAGTAGATATTCAATGGAGAGATGTTAAATATCTTAATGTAGTGAATGAATAAAAATGTATCTAGTAATTTTTACTAGGTTTAGATTTGTTTTATATCTATAGTTATTTTATTAATTTTGGGATAAGACATGGTTTAGACCCATAAAAGTTTAAAATTTTTTTAAGGGTTATGAATAATGCGAACACTTAGTTCCTTTAATAGAATTACTTGTGGTATTCGGTTTATATTGTCCCTTGTGAGCCGTACTAATATATTTCATTTTTTAGTTTTATTTTTTAATGAATTTCAATCCATAAGTTTTCTAAGATATAAATTATAGCATAAAATTATTTATTTTTGAAAAGGATATCAACATCTTTCTTCAAAGTAAAAATTGTAAGATTGCATATTTTATCAATTATTTTAAGTAAATCACTTAAGTGGTTAGGATATATTAAGAATTTGTTGTTTATTATACACAGATCTATTTCTTTAGTAGAAAAAAGTTGGTGTTACACGATCACAGCGTAAGAGTCAAGATCTTAGGAACTCTGACTTACTATCTTTCGTAAAACATGGATTTTTCAACAGAAGACCAGAATATTCCATATTTAAGAATGGACATTCAATATAGCAGATATTAGTTATTTATTAGTCATTTTGAAACTTTATCTCTATTCGGATTATTGAATTGGAAAAGGATTTTACATCAAGCGTTCCTTTGTAAAAATCAGGCAATTAATAAAGAAAGAAGGTATGAAAAATTGCAGTTTACAAAAATAGATACACTAAATAAAAGCAATATATTCGTGATATATTCCCTTCTCTATGTAATCTAGAAATTCTTATCACAAAGACTTCTAACCAATTTGTACTATAAAGGAATTTTAAAAAATAAATCTTTCTGAGATAATGAAAAAAATATTACGTACTTTGTATTAGCGTTGTTCATATATAGATCAGAAGGATTCTCATAAGAACCACAGTGGTTAGCGCACAAACAAAACTGAAAAGCACAACTCCACTATCAAAGTGAAAGTGAATTAATCCGATAAGTCTATAAATTTGACTAGTTGCTTAATTTTACAGAATATCAGTTATATCATTACGAGAAAACACGATAGAACAGTCTCTTCAAAACCACAATCACGACAAAGGTCATTATAGGGCAGGCCTATAATGCTTATAGCATGTTTTTCTACTACGCCGTGACCTGTCCGCACCGATACTGTAGTGTTAAGCATATTCCACTTTAGTTAAAGCAGCTGACCGATATGTGTCCTGTGTAGTTTGGGCCAAGTGGATCTTCAGATTAGACAGGAATGTGTGCCAGACATATGTCGAAATCTTCATTATCGAAAAGCTGATACCATTATGTTACTACTAACCTCAATTAATTGCAAATTCCGATGTTTGTGCTTGGTATTCTAACCACTATATTACAGTTGCATTGTCGTTTGATTTCTGTTCGTTGTAAATTCGTTTCGGATATATATCCGTTAGCGTTAACTTGAACAGCTATGGCTATTCTGTCAGTAGTTATGTGCTCATCAGAATAACCTCAAGAATATTTAAATACCTTGACCTCGCTCGACACGATAACAACATTTGAGTTGGTAATAGCATTTTTAGTATTGCAGAAGAACTTGTTTAAAATGTTATGTTCAATATAATAGACTAGGTCATTTTATAACCTAAGATATGTTGTAAGTAAATAATATGAAAAAAAAAAACGATTTTCGAAAAATACTCTCAGCTTATAAGAATCTGATGGTCTTTTGATTATACGATTTTCAGAACACAGACTACAAAACAATTTTCCTTTCAAACTAAATCTGTAATCATGGGTGTAGGTAGCTAGGGGCAGGTAAGTGGTGAAGGATTATTTCCTCAATATAAAAAAAATGCGCCGTCAAATTAGTGTCATGGTTTTCTGAGCTGACACGATTCGAAAATTGTCATTGCAGAAAGTTTATTATTTCTCGAGTTGCGTAAAATATAGCACTAATTTATTGAAACTATATGTTCCTATTACCATAAATGGATAGAGAGAAAGTCCTCAATAATTGTTTGATAGCGATTTCCGTAGATTAAAATGAAGATTTTTGAAGATTGATCTAATGTTCTAGAACCCATTTTGTTTTCCTGTTTCAATATCCAAAGTTTCTATATCTCTCAAATTTGGCAATAATAGAAGAATAATACCTTCCTCACCTCCTTAACCTCCTTTTTCACTTTTTGCTTTAAGTTTAATTTTAAGTTTAAGAACAAAATTGGTAATTGAGCTCTATTATTAAAGATATATTATAATGTATTCTGATTCATTACATATCAAATCAAATTCATCAATTTTTTTGTTTGTTATTATCTTTCTGATCATCTTTAACATAATTTGAGATATAATATATTGTAAATGATAACACTAATTAAAAAAAAAGATTTACATATATATTTAAAAAAACTGTGTCATTGATTTTAGTAATTTTGTTTATTAACAATAAAAATATAAAATTGCTATTAATTAATTATATAACGTTAATACAATAATTGTTTTTGCTTTTTTTGATTCTTTACCGTTTAGCTTTTTGGTACATGTGCCTCTTCAAGCTGACCTAACCATAGCTTGAGGGCCTAGAAATACCTATATTCTTGGATTTGAACAATCATAATTGCATGTTTTTTCGTATTAGTCATTATTTTGACACTTTTATTCTTTATACGCCAATTACATGCTTTCGAAGTTTAACAAGCGTTTTCGGGAGAAAAATCGATTACTAGATAACGTATATGGTATATGATTATTTTCATTGTAATTACTATTTTATTATCAGTTTTTTTCTAAATCACGTTCCGCTCATGCTGCAAACACGAGACTCATTCATTATTATCGGTCGCGTGCGGAGTTATGTGTCTGAGGTGTATGGGAAACGAAGCGATTATATTCAGCTGCAAGTTCGTTTTTGAGTTCTTATCTCCATTGTATTTCCTAAAGGAAAATTTCCATATGGAATTTTCCATGAATATTTCTTTTAATTTATTTAAAAATGCCTACTGATGGCCACATTAATGGACAATGATTGCTGGTTTGCCTATATATTCCACAAAAATCATGTATACCAATTTAAATGTAGAGTATGCGTACAAGTAAACGAAAATTTATCACAAAAAATATATGGTAGGCCTATTTAGACCTAACTAAGTAACTCAGTAATTTTATAAACTTTATTACGTATAATCACTCGCGTTAAAAAATAAAAATCTTTTTACGCATATTGTGCTTCACGTATAAATCTTGGAATGAAAATGCAATCAGTTGAACATTTCGATTTGTACGACGCAGATGAAACGCGTATCCACAAACACACTATGGAGACTGGAAGTCCAGTGTTTAACGTGATTACCTGTCGTGTAGGCTCAACATCACGGTACTCAAAAGCATAACGTCTTGGTACAAAGCGTCAATCAGCACCCCAATTGGAATTAACTCCCGCCCGTACCAATGAAGAATTTATGTAAGTCATTTTTTCCATCTCGGTTTAATGCGAGGTCTACTTACTGCCCCTGCTACAATTTGGGCTGTAGCACCCGGTGGTGAATACGCAACTCCACGCCGAATGTAAACCATAAACTGAATATTCTTCCCGCGTAAGTTTGGGTATTAATCAACAGCCACTACGAAGCCAACCTCAACTGGTCAGTCCAGCCGAAGCAGTGGGCCATTGTCCCCCGTAGTACCAGATCGGATCATCTCTGGTCAGATGGCGCAAGTGCCGTGCCACTCAATACCATACATACTTCCTACACAAGTGCCGTATTGGCACCGGGATTTTAGTCGCCTCTTACGACAGGCATACCTTACCGCGGGAATATTCTAACCCCTTCACCGCAGGGGGCACACTACGGAGACTAGAGAATTATTAGATTGTTTTTTTTGGGATGACAAAAACGTCTCTCCAGATTTTTTATATATTTGGTTCTTGATCTATTTTCTTTAACGCTTTGGAGTATTGCATAGAAAAATTGATAATGTGGTTACTGGTTTTGGACGTGCAATGATATTTCTACTATAGTGAGTGTTCTTACTCATATATTATATATATAAGTATGTTCAAAATTGAGCAGTGAATAAAAATGTAAATATAAATGATACTATGTTTAAAATTTAACGCACCCAGAGTTATATGTGCGTAAAGTGCAAATGGCACATGTAACACTAATTGGATTCATTCAAAACGGACGACTTCAGTTTGATTGCAATAAATTTCTTTAAAGAGCTGTAGTGCAGATAAGACGATGATAAAGATCTGTACGAAGTTAAGTTTACTCTATAAATTTTTATTTGTGGTATCTTAAAACATACATAAGATATGAGACATGTGAGTAAAAATATAATATGTACGCTTGGAAAAATATCTAAAATTGCTGACAACATGCCACACGACAACTCGTTTTCTGATAAGACTTTTTCATTCAACACGCAAAATTTTGTTTGCGTAGGACCAGAATTATGGTCAGAATTATGAATTATGGATTTGCTTATCTCTTGTTTTTTCGGAGAGTAAAAAATTAGTGCATGAAAACATTTTAGCAACTCTGGCGATAGGGGCTCGACCAAGTGATTAGAATGATTTAAGCGCTCAAAGAAAACGGTTCTCGTGAAATTCTTTTTTAAGTAACGAAACAAAACAAAAAAGTACAAGTATAAGAAAACTTATGTCAAAGTACTGAAGACGGAGTAAAAGTAGATCACCGAACATATATATGAATATATACTCACTATTGTCATTTCTTAAAATTTACTTACACGCATGTTAGTTAATTGATAATAGGAGTCTTGTTTTTTTTTTGTGGAGAGAGAATTTTAATTATTATATTGGCTATAATATGATGCGATTTCTGCAGTTTCGTGCAAGTGCTGCACCGACATCAGCAGTGAATATAGGTTCCAAGGATATAATAACAAAAATCTGCAAAAGATGGCGTCACGTGAGTATATGTTTGAAATTTGTTGTCTATATATAATTGATGTTTATATATATAAATAAATGATATTTAAGTAAAGTGAAAACAAATAAACAAATTTATAATTAAAAAACAATAAAATATTAAATAAAATAATGTAAACAATATTAAAAAATAAAACTGTGAAATAAATTAATTTAAAATAAATAAAAAATAAAGTTAATTTAATAAAATATTAAAAAAATAAAATAAAATAAAATAAAATAATATGAAATAAAATAAAAATAAATAAATTAAAATAAAATAAAGCTAAATAAAATAAAATAAATTAAAATAAAATAAAGTTAAATAAAATAAAATAAAATAAAATAAAATAAAATAAAATAAAATAAAATAAAATAAAATAAAATAAAATAATATAAAACAAAATAAAATAAAATTAAATAAAATAAAGTAAAATAAAAAAAAAATAAAATAAAATAAAATAGTACCAAATAAAACAAATCGAAACAAAATCAAAACAAAATCAAAAATATTAAAAAATATTTTAATATATTATTATTTAATATTATTATTTATATTAATGCAACTAATATTAAATTATATATTAAACAAACTACAATAAAATAACAAAAAACAGATTGAAAAGATTGAAGAGATAATTAATGTTTGGACTTCTCTTGGTTACTGATTGTTGAATAGCAAATGTTGAGTGAAGTGAAGGGGTTTACTTTGTAATTAATTTCAACTTATTGTTGTAATTACGAAATAATGAAATTTTATATGTTAATTGTTAATACGGGTCTTTATGACAAAAAGAACGGTTTAGACGGATTCGAATAGCAAAGAAAAGACAAGGACAAAAATTTATTTAATTTATTGTATGGTTAGCCAAATTTCAATAAATTAAATAAATTCTTGTCATTGTCTTTTCTTTGCTATTCGAATCCGTCTAATGAAATTTTATATTGGATGTAAAAAAAATTATTTGATTGAACCGAAATTTTTATTTAATATTTGTGTACACATACATATATAGGTTATCGGTTTTTGGTGTCCGGGGGTATAGTTTTTTAAAGTCCCCCGGGTATTTCAAAATTTAGATGTTTATTTTATACAAATTTTATGACATATTTTCACAAAATATGAATTAAATTAATTTCCATAATTTGTAGTTTAAAATGAAATAACAAGGTAGGGTTTAACACAACACTGTTAACAGTGCAATATATATAACATAAGAAATATAAAAAAAAAATATGAAATATAAAGAACAAAAGTGTCGATACACTTGAAAAATTTAATAAAAAAACTTCGTAAAAAATTTTTTCAATGTTAAAAAAATAAAATGCAATAGAAAAAATGTTTAGGACAAATAATAAAGCGCTTTATAAATTAAAACAATGTCATTTGTATTATTTTTTTTTTTCAGCATCAAAATGATAAGATTTTTTTTTATTTTCGTTTTAAATAATTTTTTTCATATATTTAAGGTTTATTTTAAATTGTTTTTTAAACGTTTATTACTTTTTCTGCTAACTGACAGTAAGTAAATAAAATATTGACTTTATCGTATAACGCAAATAAAAATGATAACATACATAATAACACTGTGTTTATATATATACATATACATTATTAATATCTTTATTTGCATGAATAATGCATGAAAAATATGAAAGAAATATTATTATAAAGATATCACAGCTGTTTAAATGCTCTAAGGATTTATACGTATTATAAATCCTTCTAATGACAATATATGTTAAATAAATTATATCAATTATTAGTTGTTGTTTTTAAAAATAAATTATGCAAATCAAAAAATAAATTTAATCAAAAAATAAATTAAATATAAAATAAAAAATAATAAAAAATATATGTATATAAAATTATACTGTTATGTTTTAATTTCTCGCTTATTTTTGTTTACTTAAGCCTAATTAGTGTTTAATTAAAATAATCAATAGTTTATACATTTTAATCGCTTATGAGTATGGATTTTTGTGAATTAAATGTGATACATTTTAAGCTCCTCTAATAGCAACGAAAATATTTTTTTTTATCACCAGAAATATAGATATGTATAAATTTTTTTCTTTTATTTTGTATATGTATTGTATATGTATCTGTTTTAATTATTTATAGAAATAATCATTCATTTACTGCATATTGTTAAAATATATTAATATGTATTGAATTTGTTTTTGATACATTGTCTTTTATAGAAAATATTTCAATATTAATATAGTACGCAGATCTTAGATCAATCACTGAATCATCATGAAGCTTATAGGCAATACATAAATTAGTCAATGAGATGGGTGGGACCCTGTAGTACCCCCAGCTATCAAAATGTAAAAGTACCCAGTTGCGCTGACTCGAAAAAAGGATCAATATACACATATACATATATAGTACTATTATAATAGCTTATATATTAAAAATTTTGTATAATAACATAAGATGATTGGTTGGTTGGTTGCAGTGGCAGGCCATTAGGTAACTTCATTAGATGTACCTCAATTAGCGATTTTTTTCCGGTTTGCTACCACATTCTTTGCAAGAACACTAGTATAGAAGAGTAGAAACTAAACCCATCCCGCCGAATTTTGATAATTTAATAGATCTTTCATTTTCATCCATGAACAGTCTGATAAACAATCAAAGAGGTATTTTCCTAAGAATCTATATCTTCTAGACGTCAAGGCCGGGCATGCACAGAGAAAATGTATTATGGTTTCTTTTTTCCTGCGGATTTCCACAACTTCTGCAGTGAGTATTATAGGGAATGCGCAGTTTCTCTATATGTGCAAGTATGTTTTCAATACGTATAGTTGAGCGTCATTTCGATTCACTTGATAAGTGTGCAATATTTGTGCGATATATTAAATCTCCATCATTATTATTTGTGGTGTTATCTGCATTTTTAGTTATTCAAGTAATCTTGGATATAATGTTGTGTTTTGATATAGAAGTTTTCTTATTAGAAGTCAGCATATCCATCTTTGTTCAATACAAAATAATATGGGAATTTGCCTATGCACTAGTAATATTCTTCGTTCACTATTGGGTATTTAATCAGACATCTAAACAAGATAAACTGCTTGATTATCTTATTAAGGAATACGCAAAAATATCTTAAGTTATTTCACTATACAAAAAATAGATCAAGTAATGTAGCTTAAGGCTTAGACCCTGCAATTCTATCATATAGTAGTAACTTTCGTTGAGATCACACTATAATAATTAGTTAAAAATAATTGATTAATAATTCTATATAAGAAACATTTTTCTCCTATACTTTAAATAGTGGTTTTATGTTATTATTACTGTTCTTATGTTAGATCTTGATATTAGTTTCAATCAGGTATTTTCAAATGATTGGTTTTCTGGAATAATCAGAGATACTTTCCTAAAATTTTCTTAAATTTTTTTTATATTATCTTTGTGTCCAGTAGATCATTAAAAAATTATCTTTTATAATAATATGTTTAGAGTAGTAGTATTTTACATACAGATAGTTTTATGACGGAAATTAAATGAATGGTGAATATGTAAATACTATTATTGATGGTATGTTTATTAATTATAAATATTATAAATACATATAGTAGGAGTTTCGGATAAATTTTACACACTGTTCATATATACCCAATTTAGATGTTTGTTAATATTGCTCAATATTATAATATAATATTTCTATGGTAGTCTAGCTAGCTATAAAAATAAATATATTAGATGAAAACACCATGAGTTTCCATCTAATAGTCTTCTCCTGAGCTCTATCCTGTTGACTGTTTTTAACCACTCTCACTAGCAATTAAGGTCGGGCAATGAAAAAATTATTAATAACAACATTGTAAGATGATTAAAATCGCCGACAGTTTTCAGAATTGTATTTTAAAGTATTCATGTATAGTCTAAATTTTTTATTTAAATTTTTATTAGATATTTTAGTTTTTAACTATGTATTTGTTATTATTATATACACAAATATTTTTGATTGTTTTTTCATAATATTTAATTTTGTTTTCAGCAAGACAAAGTAATAGCAATTCGAAGGGAAGATCAATCAGTATGGGAACGGCGTGCCCCATTTGGTCCTTCACACGTACAAAAATTAGTCAAAAAAGGGGTTAAAGTTATTGTACAACCCTCCAACCGTAGAGCCTACCCAATGCAGGTAAAATTTGAATTAATAAATATATAATATAAATTAATATATAAATTATTTTTTCATATATCAGTAACTATATTTTTTGTCACTAATTTAATATATTTTATTAAAATAATTTTTTTTTTATAGTGTACCTATAAGTATATAGTCATATTTAATAAATGCGATTACTCACAATCGGACATCTACCTTTAGTAGATAATATACTGCAAAATTTAACAAATTCAAATTAAATTTCAAAAAAATTTATATTTGGAACTTATCAACATTTATTTTAATAATTCGTAATAATATAATAAGTTGAGGCAAAAAGAATGTTGTTCAAGGTTAAAGAATGCACTGTTAAAAAATTCTTTATATGCTATATATTAAGTAGTGGAAGGTATAAAAGTTTAGACGAAATAATTTTTTGAGTCCTATATGATATACACATTATATGAGTATATCATATATATATCATATATATGAGTATATCATATATAGGAATTAGTTCTTTAAAATGTTTGTAATGATATTCTAAAAAACTGTAAGAAAAACAAAGAAATATATATATAGTAAATGCAAATAAAAGTATATATACTACGAATTAAAATAAATTAATTAAACTATATTATGGTATAAGGAATTATAGGTCTCATTTTCGTTGTTGTTTAATTCGAGCATAAACATCTCTTGTTAAAAACAATTACGGTTAGTGATTTTTTTAACATATGTTAGATTCATGTGTATAGATTCTTAGGATATATCTCTATATTTTGCTTAAACAAGACTAAAACAACTTTCTTTTAAATATAGATCTTTTTTATGGAATGATCTGTAATATTATAGTTAAATCGATATTTTTTATTTGCAGAAGACTGACCTAAATAAAATTAAGTTCAAATGTATATGGCAGGTTTAAGGTTTCTGTAATTAGTAGTAATTTATATTTGTTTAAATTAATCCTTTACTGTAAAAGAAATTGTAGTACAAAGAATGATAATTAATCTCAGGTTTGAATAGCATCCTAATAGTAATATATATAATTATTTTTTGTAGGTATGCAAAATAGAAACCCATTTGCTATATATACTGCAATAATAAGGTAGTAAAAAAATTATTTTGGAAGGTATTGGTATCCCTCAAACAGTAGAATCATTTGCTATGATTTTGGGGAATAGTTAACTATTAAACTTAAACTGAAGTTAAAACAAATAAAACTTATAATGTCTTTTAGTTTAAGGGTTCCAGACTTCTTATCTCTAGTGGATGAGTAAATCTTTTATACTGTATATTAAACAAATATATAATGTTCTTTGGTTTAAGGATTCTGGACCTGTCTACTCTAGTAGATGAGTAAGTCTTTTATCCTGCACATTTTAAAAAAATGTAGTATAAGAGGTCCCAAGAATTAATCATCTCAAAAATGATACATTTTAATTATATTAGAGATGCCATGTGATACCGATATTTTTATATTTCTATATAAAACTAGGGGCCTTTCAAATCATATGTTTTGATGAGATTTAATATAATTGCATGTAAATAACGTCATTTTAAAAGTCATGAGTACTTGAAAATATTTTAAAAAATAAGGACAATGGATAGATAATGAGTAAAAATCTTCATATAAATTTATTAAATATATAAATAATAAATTTTTTTTTTATAAAAAAAAATATCTAAAAATTTAAAGTGTTATTTGCTGGAGATATAGTGAATACGTTTACTACTATTTCTGGTGTTTTTATTTTAGATTTCATTAACAGTTATTAAAAAACTTCTATAATTTGATATGATAAAGCATCACATCGCATAATCACTATCGGTATTGGTGATAAGAGAATAAAAAGGCCATGTTTATTTGCGTTTAGTAGCAATAGAAATGTGTTGCCTACTGCCTAATAAATTTATTTTTGAATCGTCTGATTAGGTTCTGATAACATCTCGAAAAGAAAACTCTATTAGCACGTTGACATTCGATTAAGAATGATGTTGATACATATTTTTTAAAATTTAATGTATATATCAATGATAGCGTATTCATGAAAACTGAAGTATCTTTTACCTTGTTGGAGTGTTGGTTTTCTTTATCGCAATTGAGTAGTTTTAGTTTTCATGGTTGAAACGTTTATAATTAGTTGATTTTATGACGATTTCACAGTAATAATTTTACTTATTTTTTTATAATAAATAAATATAATCATTAATTTTTTTTTAATTAGCAATAAATTTCTATAGCTATTAATTTAAACAGTTCAGTTTCAAGAAAACTGAAAAAATTCATAAAATTATTATATATATAACATTTTGTTTGTAAATTATTGAAAAATCTATAGCACCATTCAACTTAAGCAATAGTGTCCAGCTAACTACAAAGAAATTTAAATGATTATGAGTTAGAATATACTTAATATACTTAATATACTTATACTTAATGGCTCATTGTGTCACTGAACGAAATTTTATAAGCTTAAAACCATTTGGGATCTTTACTGAATCTATCTGGAAAAATCAACTTATAGAGAGGTTTTGTAGCTTATTGGCCTGTTATGTTACCCCACAAAACTTGATAAGTTTAAATATATTTAAAATATTTAACAAAGCTTAATACTCTCTTGTGACTGATTAAGTTCTTCCGGAAAGTGAGTCCCTAAAATGAGTTTAATCTACATCGTCACTGTGTTGGATGGCAACAAAGCAGATGTGTACTACTTTCATTGGCTTCCTTACAGTTGCGGCAAGTGTCAATAAAAGAAGGGTTTAATCGTCTTGCATAGTAATCTAACTGACAGTGATCGGCCAACAATCCAACTATTAGTTTGTAAAAACTAATACATTTTATTTAAAAATATTGACGCATCTCAATGCTATTGTTAGATTTTATTCCTAGATTTTTTATAATTTTCTAATTTAGAAAATGGCAACTTACATACAGATATCTGACAATATTTGAAAAATCCCATTTTGTATAAAATCTTGGAATATATAGAGATATCAGCAGCAGTTTGTATGAAGTATGTTGTGTGCCCAGACTTTATAGATATGCTTTATGACTTTTTGATGTGTCTCGTTTAGTTTGCTTATTACCAGCGATATTTCTGTGACTGGAAATTGAGAGAAGTGAATAATCGAACTACACATCGTATCAAAAGATGTGTAGTTGTTAAAAATCATTTTACCTGTTAACTGGAATAAACTCATACATTTTTAATTAGTTCACTTACTTACTTACTACTGTCCTAGATATCTATTTAATATATTATTCCCTTCTAGGCAAACTATTTCTATCCTGCTGGTACCTGGATTTCTTTATCTGAAAGGCACTGCAGTTGAATGACGTTAATGAGTACATAAAAAGTTGGAAATTCGAAACAAATCTAGAAAAGTCAACCTAGGTATCATAAGTCCTACATATAGACGAATGCTTCTCTCATGTACTCTTTGTAATTTACGAATCTTTCTAGAATTCTGTGCAAATATAATATATGCAGAATATGCATATAGAATATGTATACTAGAATAATAGACATAATAGAATGTGCTTAGATAAATAGATAACATATTTCTACAAATAAAAAACAATTAGGTACAGCTAAAGTAAATCCTCTCTATTGACTGCTTGGGCTTAATTTGCAACTATCTTAACCAAATAAATTTTTGAGCTATAAAGCTGTAATCGAAACGTGAAAATAAATTGACGGTTCCAATGGTATACTAACAAAAGCACAACGGTACCATATGTCTCTAATGATAAACTACAGCAATCCCACACTAAGAAATTTCTTGTTATAGTGAGGGATACTTAAAGCTTATTGGTGATTCATTGGTGACATCTCGTCAATTATAAAGATGCCGATAGAGTTTGATACAATATTTTGAAATTACTGGACTTAAAGAATGCTTTATATTTATAGAGGTATTGCACTGTCTGCTTTCTTTCCGGTCAATAGACTTTCATTTTATGAAATATAAACAAGACCATTTTGATAAGTCGTTGATTATTGTATTAAATAAGTTTAAAATTATTTTTGTAATATTTTTTTAAAATATTGCGAGACTTAAAAGCTTGACTTAAGATTATTACTCCGATTAGGGAGTTTTTTTGCTTCTATCAACTATTTGAAACTGATAAGTTTTGGTCAATGTGTAAAAATTTCTGAAACAAAAATTTTTTATAAAAAATTGTAGATTTATGTTAATTTATGGTGACAGTTTCGGATATAGTGGGTGAAATCTATAGTATAGTGATGAAAGAGGATAGAGATAAGGATGAAGATTAAAAGGAAGAGATGGGTTAAAATTAAATATGCAGAAATTCAATTCGTTTTATTTATTATGAGAAATCGGATTAAGCTCTTATATGCTCGATTAACTGGAAAATTGTTATTATTATTATGTTAACTGATAGTTCTACCCTCCTCGTCGGTATTCACATTTCCTTAGAACACATAGTGATGTAATAAATTAATGATTAATTACTTTTATATTTAAAAAACTTGTATTTATTTTATATATTTATTAGCAATTAAACAATTTATAGCTTATCGCGATGTAAAAAGCTTTAATTAATTCGATTTAATTATATCATGATCATAATATATAACAATTTTCTCAGAAATAAATTTTTGTACTTTTTTCTTTTGTATAATAAGATTAGAAAAATTAATATTTTATAAATCAGTGAGTCCGCTCCTTACCCCACAAGTTAAAATTTTTTTTTTAAATTTTAAATGAACGCAATTCCGGGGTGTTTACATTAAAAATTGAAAGTGATAACTTTTGTTGTCGTTGGAATCTGAAAACCTGATAAGATTTCATTTAGTTTTTGTCAACAAAAAATTTTTACGCCAAGGTGACCAACTATAAAATATAATTCTGTCACGTTATGATTTATTATTTTACTTAATTATCTTCTGATTTATAATGCGATGGTTATTGGAATTTCAATATATTTTTCTGGAATGTGTAAATGGTATAAAGGAGCTCCGTTAAAGAGTTCATTTATATTATAAGATAATGCCAGGCTTAAGTAAATTAATTATATCCATGAAAAAACAACCTATATTCAATGAGATTTTGATCCAATTTCGATTGCTCACTGATGTGCACTTAATAATTGGTTAAATGTCCTTTTAGTAAAAGTGCATACAAATGTTCAATATTTACATTTACGCTTGTACTAAGTGTGTTGCTTCCTTGTGTCCTTACAATACCTTTTTCGAGATATATTAAACAGCCGTCTTCCGTGCCGGGAATGGTAAATATTTTCTTTATATTTGGTGCAGTGATGCACTGATGCACTGGCATAAATTTTCGTCGTTATGCAGGCCATGTCCTGTCGATGTTCGTTGTGCCTGGATATGTCGTATTTCGTTGTAAAGTGGTTTTGTTAATGCAGAACTTATGATGGTGCTCCTTGTGCATTATTTCAATTATAAGCATTTTTTGTAATGAATAATATATGATTTTATATTTTTGTTTGCTTTTTGTGCATTTATGTAGGCTTATCTGCAATCTGGCGCCATCATAAAAGAGGACATGAGTGAAGCTTCCGTTATATTTGGCGTCAAGCAGGTGCCCATCGATGCTTTAATACCTGGCAAAACCTACTGTTTCTTTTCACATACGATAAAAGCGCAAGAATCAAACATGCCCTTACTGGATGCCATTTTGGAAAAGGTAAATTTATTTGTACGCCTTATAATTAAATCTTCTTGTTTTATGTAATATTATTTAAAAATGGTCACTGATATCGTTTCACAGAAAATTCGTCTCATTGATTACGAGCGCATCATTGACGAACGTGGTGCCCGACAGGTGGCATTTGGCAAGTATGCAGGTGTGGCTGGTATGGTAAATATATTACATGGCATTGGTTTGCGTTTATTGGCATTGGGACATCATACACCTTTTATGCATATTGGTCCGGCCCATAACTATCGTAACTCATCGATGGCAAGACAGGCAATACGCGATTGTGGGTATGAAATTTCATTGGGTATGATGCCTAAGTCGATTGGGCCACTAACGTTCGTCTTTACCGGTTCGGGGAATGTGTCACAAGGTGCTCAGGAAGTGTTCCAAGAGTTGCCCATTGAGTATGTGCCACCAGAAATGTTGAGGAAAGTAGCAGAACATGGCAGTAAGTAATTTTATTGCTTTTAATTTACATATATTAAAAATTTAAATGCACAGCAGTCAAGCGAAATGGGATAGTACGGAAGAGCAAAGTTAAATAATACAAATTTAATAGTTAATTTTAAATAATTTTCTTTGCAATCAAAATGATTAAAATACAGTAAAGAACAAATTAATAATTAATAAATGAAAAAAAAACTCAACGAATTATAAGAGTGGGAGAGGGTGTTTTAGTCCCTATACTACACATATTCATATTAATGTTAGAGAGTCGGACATACTATTTCGACGACTATCAGTCTAACAAAAAATAAATGTCAAATCAAAATCATAGTCATTATGATAGTGATATATTTATACTGTCGATATATCTATAACGTCTAAAAATGTTTAATTTTCATATGATATTTTTTTTACTGGCAACCAAAAAGCGAGCAGTGTTCAATGGTAGGCATCAATGGTAGTGACTCTGCAAACAATCAAACATCCAGCATAATCTGGAATTAGTCATTTAATTCTACGAGTTTAGACGATAATCTTTTAGTAAATTAAGTTTCTGATAGAAAAGTCGTTTCATATATAGTTCGTTATTTAGCAAGCTACTATGACCGCCGTTATGATCTCAACTATATCCGCCTATCTGAGAATACAGAAAGTCGGTGCTGCTTAAAGTCAGGTGAGGTCTCTAGTCACATTCTTTGTGACTTTCTTTGATTTACTTTATTTGCTTGATTTGTGCCAGGAGAAGATTACTGAATCGAAAGCTTCTAAACTCATTTGATATAAGGAAATTTTTAATAGGTGACATGTTTTTCTTGATTCGAAGAGCTGAATGTCATCTGCTCAGTTAGGATCGGTTAGCAGCATTAAACATTTGTTATTGTAGCAGCGTTTTACTTCGTTGGGACCCAGTACTTTATAAAAAAATTCTCAACATGTGACATGTTTTTCTTGATTCGAAGAGCTGAATGTCATCTGCTCAGTTAGGGTTGCTGAGCAGATCCATTCTGTGTATTGATCTTGAGTTGTGGAAAATTGTACTCGTATACATTCTTGTTCTAAAATTTTTAATTAAAAAATATATGTTTTTATAATAATGGGGTTTTTTGATCAGTACATTATGGTTTTTTAAACTATAATCTTTGTTTATGCTACTCAACTTTATAAGTTTTAAGCTTTTTGTTTCTGAAAGTGAATAAATATCTTATCGGCACTGTGATATATATTCTTTGGAATTGTTATTAATACTTCTTTTGCTGTAAAATATAGGAATTAATTGAATGAACATTTTTTTTTCTGTTTTTAGGTCAAAATAAACTCTATGGCTGTGAAGTAAGTCGTTCTGATCACTTAGAGCGCCGTGAAGGCGGTGGTTTTGATGCTAAGGAATATGATGAATATCCCGAACGATATATATCAACTTTCAATCAAAAAATGGCACCATATGCTTCAGTAATTGTGAATGGTATATACTGGGCTGTAGGAAGTCCCAAATTGATAAGTATTCCTGATGCTAAAAATTTACTAAGACCTGCGAATACTCCCTGGTTACCAACTAGCAAAGGAAGTCCAGCTTTGCCACATCGCATGTTGGCGATTTGTGATATTTCTGCTGATCCCGGTGGTTCAATCGAATTTATGAATGAATGTACTACAATTGATACACCTTTTTGCCTGTATGATGCCGATCGTAATAAGGATACTAAAAGTTTCAAAGGGCCAGGTGTGTTAGTGTGTTCGATTGATAATATGCCTACACAGCTGCCACGTGAATCTACTGATCTATTTGGTGAACTATTATCACCATTTGTCAATGACATTATTAAAAGTGATGCTAAAAAATCATTGGATGAGGAAAATTTCACATATCCCATTAAATCTGTAAGTAAATCGTTATTTGAAAAAAATGTAAATAAGTTTTGTAGGTCGAAGTTAGTAATATTTATGATAAGTAATTGTCATACTATTATGTCTGGAACATTTTTTTGAACACACCTTTTGGTTTTAATTTATGAAGTTGTTGATGAAGTTGAATAAATCTATAAGATAATGATGGGTTTATTTCATTTGTTTTGAATTTTCATTACAAGTGTGTCTCGTATCTTGTGTTAGCATAGGTCAACTCATATGCCGGCATATAGTAAGTAAATTACTGATTGCAACAAGTCTTCATAAATAAAATATAAAAAAAATTAATCTGCAGTAAATTTCGATTTCACCAGTTAAAACCACTTTTGATAACAAATAATCATTTAAACCATGCCAGCTTGAGTTATATGCTAGCACTCATATGAAGTTATATGACATGAATTGCACACTTAGTCAGTCTTTGGAATAGGGGCGTACACGTCAGTTTAGCACAGAACACTAAAGTTACATATGCTTTTGAATTATGTTTAGATTTTTGGGAAGAGCTAGAAATGTGACTTGAAAATATAAAATAAATAATTGATGATAATAATGTTTTTTATTAATTTCAGGCCATTATAGCCAGCAATGGAAAGTTGACTGAAAACTACGAATACATACAAGAGTTGCGTGAATCTTATACGTAAGTGAAATTTTGGTCTTTTCACATTTGCACGTAATCGAATTTTGTTGTTTTTTCTGCAGTTCACGTTCTCGTCATAAGGTCGAGGGGGAGAACGAGGGTGATAAGAAAGTGCTTGTACTAGGCGCTGGTATGGTTTCTGCACCGCTTGTTGAGTGGTTGCATCGCGAGAAAGATGTTGCTATAACAGTTTGTTCCCAAGTCAAAGAGGAAGCGGATCGTTTGGCTAATAAGTATTCGGGTGTTAATAGTGTGTATTTGAATGTGACTGAAGGCACTGACCACTTACGTGAGTTATGTGGTAGAGCGGATGTCGTTGTTTCTTTGCTGCCATACAGTTTACATGGTATGGTGGCGAGATACTGTGTAGCTGAGAAAACACATATGGTCACAGCAAGTTACTTAAATGATGAAATCAAAGATTTGCACGATGAAGCTAAACGCAATAATGTTACTATAATGAATGAAGTTGGTTTAGATCCTGGTATTGATCATTTGCTTGCATTGGAATGTATACACGAAGCACAGGAAAAGGGTGGTGTAATTGAATCGTTTGTTAGTTTTTGCGGTGGTTTACCAGCACCTGAACACTCGGACAATGCATTACGTTATAAATTTTCTTGGTCACCTCGCGGGGTCTTGCTTAATACACTGTCAGCTGCTAAATATTTAAGCAAAGGACAAATCGTAGAAATATCTGGTGGTGGAGATCTGATGTCTAATCCAAAGAACTTAGATTTCTTACCAGGTTTCGCTCTAGAAGGATTTCCCAATCGTGACTCAACTAAATATGCTGAGCTTTATGGCTTGGGTAGAGATATACATACTCTCTTGCGTGGCACGATTCGTTACAAGGGTTTCTCCGAGTCCATACAACCTATGCAGTTGCTGGGTTTAATTGATCCTGAGCCACATCCAATGTTACATCCAAATGGACCAGATGTTACTTGGCGTCAGTTGGTTATTAATATGTTGGGCATGGCGGATAGCAGTATTTTCTATGAAAATTTAAAACAAAAATTAGTCGAACGAATTGGAGATGCAGACTGCTTGGAGAGTTTAGGCTTATTAGATGATACTAAAGTTGAAAAATTGGGCACACCCTTGGATACGCTCAGTCATTATTTATCGAAACGTTTGGCTTTTGGTAAGTATGAAAGAATAAATATTTCGAATTTTTAATTTAGTTGTATTAAAATTAATTATTAGTTATAAAATAATAAGTAGTAAGAGTTTTTTATTGACACTGCACTCAGAAAAATATGCTCTAACCATATACTAGTTAAATTGACCTGTTAATTTTGTTAGAGAAATTTTAGCTCATGTGGTGAAACTGACATGAAGTATGGTTGGACCAAAATCAAGAGTCGAAAAGTATTAAAAACTTTCACTACAATCCATAAAAATCGATAACCGTAACAGCCGGATATCTATGAGGTATATGATATAGCTACCGTGCGCCAATTAATATCTAACATCCATGGCAGATGATACAGTTTCATCTTAGTATTACGTTCTTATTTCTTGAAGACATTTGCTCTTTTATTTTGTGATTATCAGCATCGGTACTTTGGATAAGGTATAAAAACTACCTTTATATCAATAAAAAGTGAAGTAACTGTGAAGCCAAACCTGCACTAAGTAATACATGATAAACGTAGGGTCTAATGGCGTCTATTTTATAAAATGAAAAATAAAATTTACTGTAAAAAATTAATCCCATCATCCCGCTATTTATAGCCATTTTCAAGTTATTTACCTTGTATTGATTATGTATGGAAATATATATACAATAATAATAACTATAATAAAATTACAACGAATAGGAAACCGTTTTAAATAATTAAAATATATAATAGGTCTTTTAATTAATATTATTCATTATGAAAATTTATGGGTTTTAATAAAAATTTTTATCTATTTTTCTAGAGCGAAATGAACGGGATTTGGTTATACTCCGTCATGAAGTTGGTATACGTTGGCAAGATGGACGTCATGAGCAACGTGGCATTAACTTTGTTGTGTATGGTCAACCTGAGGGACATTCGGCCATGGCCATAACTGTTGGCAAGCCAGCAGCGATTGCTGCAAAAATGATTTTGGATGGTAAACAATCTGCATAGAGATTATTGCAATTAAGAGAATTTAATTTAAAATATCTTTTATTTCGTAGGTGAAATACAAGAACGTGGAGTAGTATTACCTTTCACACCAGATATTTATAGGCCAATGTTGCAACGTTTAAGAGCAGAGGGTCTAACGGCAACCGAAACATCGAAGTGGATACCGTAATATGGATTTTTAATTGATGTTTTCGGGATTAAATTAAGTTCTATCTTTTCAAATATAGTTTAAGTTTAAATTTAAGAAATTTTTATTTTCGTTTTGTATTTACATACATTTTCAATTTGATTAAAATGTGCAATAATTGATATATAATTGAATTAAAATAAATAATTTTAATAAAATTAAACAATTAAACAATTAAGGTTCTTTGTAAAATATTTTGCGACCTAAAGATCTATTGTGTCTCCGTTTTTTATTTAGAATATTTCTTACTCGTAAATTGTAATATTGAAGCCACTTTACTGAGTTTTATTTCTTCATCCGATATAATCTCATCTAGATATTTCTTTCGTTTACACATCAGTGCTAGGCAGATTCCTAACGTGTGTACATTGAGATCTCATTCTCTTCCCTACAAAAGCTGTAACTTCTTTTAGAGTTAGTTTCCAGTTTTGCAAGGAATAATATACTACAACTTACCTTTAATGCTCTGTCACAACTTTAATAATAATTCTTAAATGGATTTTGATTAGTTTCATACACGTCTTAAATCGTTTTATATTTAAAGGTGTTATAAGTAATTGTGAAAACACTGGTAAATTGTTTCAGTTTTCCACTTTCAGTTTTTCCTTTGCTTTTTGAGTAATTGTGAATAAATTGACACAAAATGGTGTTGAAATTACAGCAGTGAGACGGCTTCTTTTCTGGCAAGTGTGTCTACAGTTTAATTACTAGAAGTTCCAGAGTGACCCGGAACTATAAAATTCATATCTAAATATATTGGCCAATGTCATTCAGTTTTTCAATATAGTATAGAACCTACTTAACAGAGTTTAATTGCCTCTTCCGTAAGGGCATACATTCTAACAGCATATGTGGGACTGAATCTTCATCCTCTTCGCAGAATCTACAGTTTGCGTCCGTATATATGTCCAGTCTTGTAAGGTGGTATTACAGTTTACAGTGATGATTATAAGTTTTTCTTTGGATGCAGTATTATGCATTGTAGATAGCAGTGTGTGAAAGGAAAATACTCAGAAAAATTTTTGTTCCCGTGAAAGAAAACGGGATGTATTGCATAAGATCAACCAAGAGCTAGAACGGCTAGCTGAAGGTGATAAAATCAACAAATTTATGAAAAAGCAGCGATTAAGACGGGTTGGACATGTAAGAAAAATGCCAGATATAAGATTACCACTTAAGATTTAAGAAAACGAAGTAGGAAACAGAAGAATTGATAGAAAACGATGGAAACACAGTGTGCAGCAGAACTTAGAAGAAGTGAACATTAGAAATTGGAAAAGAAAAGCAAAAAACAGAGAAGAATGGAAGACTGTTGTTGAACAGGTTTAGGTCCTGTTCCTGTTTAGACTGTATAGTCATGGATGATGATGATTATGCATTGTATTATATTATAATAAAATCATTTTTGAATTAGTTTTTCCCTACCATGACTTATTTAAGATTTAAAACATGTTATCTGCTTACAAATCACATTGTCCGGAGTCTTTTCCCTAAATTAGTAGCCAAAGGGACAGTAATTAAAGTACCAAAAACTGACTCGAAAGAAGAATACAAATTTAATTACGAATTAGTTATTAAGTCTAAGTTAATTGTCCGTGATATTATTAAATATAAACTGTAAGGATTATATTAGCTTTCTTGAATGTATTCAATGTGAAGAAATTAAAAATAAAATGTGAAAAGAATTTCTCTTTCTAAGATTTCTCTGTAGTCAATTAAAATCTATTTCAACTGGCAGACATAAGTTTATCGTTTCAGTTGAAATTAATTAGTAAGTTTATACGAAAAAGAAATCTTATGCTATTGCCGTTAATTACATTTCAAGGTGAAGGTATTTTAGCGATTACGTATCTAGGTTTATCTATTCGTTGAGTTCATATTTTGGATATAAATTATTTGGTAACTGCAAGTAAATTTCTATTTGGCTCAATAAATTTTTTAAGCGTAACATATCCGTTAGTATACTATAATGTCTGCTTAAGTATCCTCACTGTAAATTCTCTTAGTTAAAGTTCCTTGCAAGTGGAAGCAATTGTTTTTCTTACAAGGCATAATGGCACGGTCGAAGCAAAAATCATTTTATTTTTCAGAATTGTTTTTATCTAATTTTTTGTGGATTTGCGGTATTTTATTTTTTAGTAGAGTTTTTTTTAAGTATTCTGAGCTCGAATGAATCGATTGTATTGTTGAGAGCACAGTATTGTTTCAACCTAAAAATCAGCAAGTTTCAGTGATGAATAACTTGTGATACACTGACAAAAACAATAGAATAAACTATTATTCATCAGTTAGAAATTGCACAAAGTCAGACTCTGAGAAGACTTTCCAAAATACCATGGAATATTAGGACGAATAATATCCTCAGGGACCTCAAGATTGATCCGATCAAAAAATATATAAAGGACAGAGAAATTATTTACGAAAACTGACAGGTTTACCAACACCGTGCTATCGAATCTCAGAATGGTTACAGGCTCCTCGTGGTGGTATGCAGATCTGAGGTCAGTTATTGCTTAGTCTGATGAAGTGATAAACAATAATCCAACCAAGGTGTAGAGAGGGGTTATGAAGAGACCTCGCAGTTAATAGAGAGTAAAAGTGCGCAAGTGCACTGACTCAACATGACAATACTATAATAATGCTATATAATAATATAACAGGTTTAAGTATAATACATATATACTCAAACATATAAAATTTAAAATATTTGGATTTTAAAAATACTTTTTAAGTTCAATTTCAATAAGAGTCAATTGTGGTCGCTCTATTAAATGAGATCATTAACTAGGTACAAATTCGTGCCAGATATCAGCTTAATTTTTTGGGAAATTTTAAGAAGTCTAATATTAAATTTTAAGAAACTTAACGATGTAAGAACTTAATAATATTTGATTGAATAAAAAACGTTGCTGTAACTGACCTGTATATAAATTTTTTCTACAATAATTAAAGTTGAATTAATATTATTCTTAGAAGAACAAGTGTACGGTAATCTGATTTCTATTTGTTGATTTTCTTTCCCTTTTTATAGAGCTATTAAAGGAACCTGGCATCGAATTGAAGAATATAATACATTTATCAGAGAATTAATTTTATTTAATTTATTTTATCTTTACCCTATTTACGAATAACCTTAAAATAGTTACAGTGATAGCGCCAGCTAATTTATATTCGTTTAAGAGAGGTTTCCAGTGTTAATCTTAATTTTAATAATAACCTTGAAATAGGTACAGTGGAAAGTGTTTGAAGTGGTCAACTAGGTAAAGTTGACATCGCTAGCTAATTTATATTTGTTTAAGGGAGGTTTCCAGTGAAATGGAGTTAATACCATGTTTCCACTGTTTAGTTTTGCTTATTAAGATAGTTAATGAAGATCATTTAACATATAAACTCCTTAAATATAATTGAGTTCATTATAAATAAGTCAACAGATTTAATGTGAAAAATGTCGAATGCAACTCTTGAAAATTAATTTTCCACAATGGGAAATTACCGAAGCTTGAAATATTTGTCACATGTTTTATATGTAAAATGTTAACAAATAAGCTACTTCATATGCATAAATCATCTTATGCCAATGGAAACGACCAAATTTTAGTTTCATTAACATAAGTAGTTTTAGCTGCAGCGAAAATATGTTGTAAGTTGTTTAAAATAATTAGAGATAAAATTGTCCACTCAAGAGAGATGCTAGTACAAGAAGACTGCCTAATCAAAATGAGATCAATTATTCCAAAAAATTGTAGAAAACTTATTTCGTTTAGGCAAAATTGTTTATCCAAAATGAGTATCCGTTAAGCGTGCTAATACTTGAAAAGTAGTTAATTAAATTAATTTTTTTTTCAGTGTATATTTGTCTTTTCGGTGCTGCCGTAGTTGCAAAAATTTGTTCCCTTCTTTTGATTTAATGCACTGTTTGCTTCGCTGCCTCAGAAATCTATAAAAAGTGATAAATGATTTTTAACGATGCATTTTTTTGCAGTAACTTGCACCATTTTTTTCTTTTTGCCCTAAATATAAAAGAAAGGATGAAAGGATAATGCTTACATTTTTACGAGCTTTGTCTTGCTTAAAGGAGCTTTTCTGTTGCTGTTGTATTCTTAAAAGTATTTACGACACCCGCATATTTGCTTAAACTGTGGTGTCAGCCATAGGGTTTTACAATAATTTTATAAAATTATTTTATTTTTTAAACTGCTTTAAAACGTTCAATTCTTTATTCTCTATAACTTCTTTACAACTCTTTATAATTTTATAACTAGCAAATTATTTATCAAGTTCATGTACGAGTATAGATTAATGCAAATGCTGTTTAAATCGGTTTGAACTTTTATGCTTCTCTGTCCATTTGTATTTGATAAGATATTTTGTTAAAGTTTTAAAAATTTTTTTTTTAAAGCAAGAAATTCATTGTCAATATAGTTCCGGTTCTAGAGCTCTTATCAACTCAATGGATGTAATATGTATATTTATTTATTGTTTTTCATTGAGAATTTAAAAATAAATATTTAATTTTTTTTAAATATTTAAAATATTTTTTGAATGAATAAATTAATCAAAACATTTAGAAATATTTTTGAATTACCCATATTGTAATTATATATATAATAAATACTGTTGCTATACATAGCACATAATTACAATATAAATATTATATTGATTAGCATTAACACTACTCCGTATGTCTGTCCAGTTAGCTGGTTTATACGACATAAAAATTCATTACTACAGTTTTATAGTTAAAATATCAATACAAAAATATATTTCTGTTAAGATATAATATACTCTATACTCTATATAATATACCTATAAAATAAGAAGAGAAGAAAAGAAAGACTTTCGATATTTTTGTCGGAAAGGATAAATATTGCTTACCATATTAGCAATACATATATATTAGTTATGGGAACTATCCTATGATCCTATGAGAAGCAAAGGGCCACATATTAGCAATATATGTATATATATAACAAATATAAATCGAAAAGATATTACGGATATGACAAGAAAGTCTCATCGTACTAAAACATAAGACAATTGCCAAGCGACAATTGTAGTCATAAATAATGAAATAAATAAATTTTAATTTCACTGTTAAATAAGAAC